CAAGAAGCACAGCTGCAGTGTCTGGGAGGTGACCAAGGTCAGCTGTTCCAAAGCAAGCGCTCGTCTAAGGGGAAGCAAGTTCGGACTTGAAGCTGGCCATTTTTCTAGCTTTTGAAGTTTAAATGGCTGCTTCATACAAAATGAAGAAAATGAAGTTACTTTGGCTATTACAATTCAGGGACTCCGTTTGGGGCCACTACAGCTGGCTGTTTTCCCTTCTTTTTTCAGGGACTTTCCAAAGCAAGCGCTCGTCTAAGGGGAAGCAAGTTCAGACTTGAAGCTGGCCATTTTTCTAGCTTTTGAAGTTTAAATGGCTGCTTCATACAAAATGAAGAAAATGAAGTTACTTTGGCTATTACAATTCAGGGACTCCGTTTGGGGCCACTACAGCTGGCTGTTTTCCCTTCTTTTTTCAGGGACTGGTGATTGAACCCAGGGTTTTGAGAGCGCAAGGCATGTGCTCTATCACTGAGCAATCCCCAGCACACTTTGCCTCTTAGGAATAAAATATAGTGCTCCTCCAAAGAACTAGAGCTGCCAACAATCTACTACTGACTTCTTTTTTTTTAAACTTTTAATTTTATTTATTATTTAAAAAAATTATTTAATAACCACCTACTTAGAAGAAGCATTTCGCTACAACCACATAGACATATTCAATAACAATTTCCAGAGCTAAGATGCATCTCTTTCTAAATTGGCTGTAAATTTTTAGGTTTACAGTTGAATTAATACAGTTATACAATATTGTACTCTGTATAAATCCTATAAGACATAAAATTAAATGAGGTTTTAAACTTTGAAAAAGACCTACATTTCATTATTAAAATACAGTTTCATAAAGGAAAAATCATTTTTAATACAATTGACACTAAGATGCATATGCATTTCCAATCTCTATATATCTGAATATTGCTAGTCACAGTCAGTTTCTTTCTGAGCACCTTGGCATCTGAGCATGGATATAAAGTCATCAGGTAGATTTCAATGGTAATGTTTTTCACATCTACTAAGTATTAAGGAGCAAATTTTTATGCTTTGAAGAATTATTATTTAAAATTTTTTTTTTAAATTTAATAACCACATGATTTGAAGAAGCATTTCATTACAGCAGCATTGACATAGTAAATCAAAATTTCCAGAGCTAAGGTGC